AACTTAAGGATGCAGAAACCTGAACTAATGTCATAAAATTGCATGTTGTTACTTAATCCTCATGCACATTGATCTTGTTTTATGCCTCTTTAAGGCGGTGGTTCAGCGTGATGGCAACAAGCTGATGGTTAGCCTGAAGGGAATTGAGTCTGTCACAGAACTGGTGGATGGAAACACAATTGTCAATGTGAGTAGACAACATGAATTTTGTGACTTATTGAATGAATCTTAAAACATTTCTAATGTGACTTTTTTTTTTTCTCCAGACTATGACTCTTGGCAGCATTGTGTACAAGAGGACCAGCAAACTCATGTAAATATGTGCATATGGGATAATAAAAACGGTAACATAAAAAGCAGCACTATCTTGATTTCTGAGGACTTTTAGAAACTGCTTGTTGCTTTTGTGTACTGGAACAAAAGGAGAGCTGTAAGATCATGGGACTGGATGCCTGTTGTGAGGGTGACGTGTTTAGAATTAGCTAAAGGCCACTTTAAACTTGACTGCAGGATGACATGCGCTAATGACATGAGCATCATGTGCTGGGGGGGGGGGCGAATCAACTTTTTATTTTTTATTTTTTTTGTTTTCTTGTTTTTTACTCCTTGCAGAACATGACAAATTGTTTTAGCACTTCACACACAAGCCAACGAGATGAGCGTCTTAACCTATTTCAAAATGAACTGCTGCAATCAAACCACCCTTTTTCAAAATGGCACTTGTGCAACAAAATGATTCACTGGTACAGTATGAATTATTTTGCAGAAACACACTGACTAACTTCATACCAAATGCTGCTGTCTTATTCCTCATACAGGCATTTCAGGAAAATATGAATAAAATGCTTTTGTTTTATTTTTGCAATTGCATGTTTTCACAACAGACAGAAGTAGAATTAATGGCTTATTGTAAAATGCCTGCAATGGAAATTATGGTTTTGGACCCTGCCTTCTGTTGGGGTCTGGCCGCATCGCCTCCTCCACAGTACACGCAATGTTGTTCGTGTGAGGTAACTTGAGGTCTTTCTAGTGCTGAGGGTCACATTGATTTGTGTTCAATTAATGATTGCTTGTATCTGTGTTGCCAATTCAAGGAGCCTGATAAGTGTTTCCCAAAATGTTATTTATGTTCTATACTGCTAAAACAACCTGGGGTCAAATTGATCCCAAAGAACACTGTGTACAGGACATTGAAAACATGGTAATTTTATGTTTACCCAGTTGTCCCCATTAAATTAGGAAAAGTCATGAAATATGACGCAAAACAAATGTCAATTTATTTGGAGATGTTAAACATTGAGGTCAACTTGATCCCAAAAGTAACAGGAGGGTTAAATGACAAAACATCAAACCTGACAATTGGGAATGAACAGCCTCACCTTACTGAATGAAATGATGTAAAGTGTTTCGTCTCTCAGCTCTCTGTATATATGTGTATATATATATGGTTTGGTCTCCCCCAGCTCCCTCTGACCTTGTTTCCATAATAAAAGTTGAGGGAAACAGATTATGAAAACAAATCTTTCTAACAAATGAAAGTTGTTTGTGGTCCTTTTGTTGTTCAGTCTACAATGAACATTTATTTAAACCAGATGGCGAATCAGAAACCTAATCAAATATAAAGCTTGAGTTTAATCTGTGATCCGTCTTCACTGTTTACATGTTGAAAAAAATCTCATCAATCCGATCGGCTGCAGCGTCCAATCACATGACTGAACAATGAGGGGGCGTGTCGGCCGTAAAAACATTTCCTGGAAGTTTGTTCTCGTGGGTCCTCGCTCATGGCTCCTCAGAGATCCCTCCTCCATCCTCGAACCTCGCTCCTCCGAGCTAAATAAGAGCTTTGGGACGGCCGTCAATATGGCGGCGCAGAACAACTTCCGGTTCGAGCGAGGAAATGACAATTAAGAGACTTGGGGTACTTCTCAAGTCTCTTAATTGCATCCCCGTCCTTTCACTTGCGTCCTTTCCTTGCGTCTTAGTCCCTCCCACCAGGGATGCATGGAGGAAACTATGCAAGGAGAGAGGAACGAGGAAATATGTTTTAAGATAAATGAGACGTCCTTTCCTCAGTTGCGTCACGTGAAGCGACGTCTGTTTCTGATGACAGAGGATCAGCTGATCACAGCTGGATCAGCTGTCAGTCGGCTTTAACAGCTGGAGAGACTTTTGATAAGTTTGTGTCTGTTCACATGATCACTGTACTTAATAATAGCAACTAATAATACTAATAACTAATAAAGACACACAGTCATCACTGTAGAGGTGTTTCTCTCTGTAGTCTGTTAACAAACTGTGTTCTGTGTTCTGTTTATAAGCGCAGGATCGATTTCTACCGGCGGAATGTGATCGTCTTATTTATGAATTATTTGTGTCTGTATGTTTTGAAATTGTCACTGTGGCATCATTTTTAAATAACCCAGAATATGATTATTGTTTCTCTTCAATGATAAAACTCATCAAACACTCAGAAATGATGTAAAAAGTGTTTCACTCTCCAGCTCCCTCTGACTTTAATTGTATTCATAATACAAGTTATTGAGGGACACATCAGATCATGAAAACACAAATCTTTCTAATAAATGAAGAAAGTTGTTTGTGGTCCTTTTGTTGTTCAGACTACAATGAACATTTATTTAAACCAGATGGCGAATCACAAACCTAATCAAATATAAAGCTTGAGTTTATTCTGTGATCTGTCTTCACTCTGGTGTTAAACTCAGTCAGTCAGTCCGATCGGCTGCAGCGTCCAATCACATAACTGATGAACAATGAGGGGGCGTGTCGGCCGTTAAAAGACTTCCTGGAACTCTGTTCTAGTGGTTCCTCCCTCCTCCATCCTCCATCCTCCATCCTCGCTCCTCCGAGCTACATTAGAGCTTTGGGACGGCCGTCAATGTGGCGGCGCAGAAACAACTTCAGGTTCAAGCGAGGATCGAGGAGCGAGGAAACGACAATTAAGAGACTTGGGATGTACCCTCTCCGTCCTCATCTGCAGGGGTGGATCCGGAAGTGGGCGGGAGTT